TCCACGGCCGTGCCCACGGCCCATGCTTGCAACTCCGGCACCATCGGGACCTGCCAATTCACGACGACGGAAATCTTCTTGTAAGATTTCCCGCTTCACAACTTCGAGTGAGAGACGGGGCAGATCTTGATTTAGGTTGATGATGAGTGAGGACCATGAGTCCGGAAGTAAGGCCAGCAGCTTGGTCTTCTTTTGAAGGTCACTGTAGTTCAGATCAGCTCCTTCGAGCCGTGTCAACAAGTCGAAGAATTTCTGCACTCCTTCCTCCACCGGTTCGCCTTCGTCAATTCGAAGTGCCGCGATTTGCCGCTCCAAAACCACAGCCACCGCCGCTGTTGCAGGAGCGTGTACACCCTTGAGAGCAGCCCATGCCTTTGGTCCCTTTGCTGGTTCACGCTGAAAAGGCTTGATATGACGGATTTGGCTGCTCCCCAACGCTTGCCCAAGTAGAAGGTAGCCTTGTGCGCTCTTCCGCACCCACGGGCTCTTCTCCGGGTCGTTCTCGGGGCGCTTCTCCGTTCCTTCCATCACCTCCAGCAGATCATAGTGGTCAAAGATGTTCTCCATCTTGAAGGACCACTCAGCAAAGTTGTCACCGTTGAACTTGTCAAGGCCAAACACTCTTGGCTCATCCCTAGAGGGTCCAAGGATAGGTTGCACCGGAGCAACGGGTGGATCTTGGTGTTGACCTTGTGCTTGGGCATCTTCTCTGCCTCCAGCACCTCTGCCACCCTCTTCCTCAGGTCTAGGCATGGTCGAGACGGCTCCAAGGGGCTCTGATACCACTTGTTATAATCACAATAGGCTTAGATGTGCCTAAAATGAGAGAAATTATGCACAGTCAGAATTCCGTTAGACAGCTTCAAATATTGATGCCGATCTGAATTGCACCTCAAACGGTGATCTGTAAATTGGATCTAGAGCACGTTGCTGTTGCCTATCAGCAGCAAGTTGAATCATAAAATTCCATGAAGATTTGACGATGCTATGGCGGTTTGACTGGCAAGAGGTATAGTAGCCACTATAGTCTTGGAAGTACAAGCTTAGCAAGAAGAGTTCGAGAGGGAGATGGTTCCCAGCCTCTACATACCCCAGAAGCCGAGGTCCAGGTTGGTGGTACACCACCACAGAGTCCCCAACCATGAAGAGTCTCGAAACAAACCCTCCAAGGGGCTACACCAAGTGAAATGTAACACTACACGAAATAGCGTTACTATTTTCACTATTTAATATTTATCCGCGTCCCTTGGGCTTGAAATCTTGAGCTCTTGGTCTTGGATGTGCAAGATAAATTCTTCTTGAGTTGATGGGGGCTTGCTGCACACACCTGCGACGCGATGGACACTTCACACTCGACAAAATAGAAAAAACACATGCGACACGCAAACGACGACTTCACATGCGAGTTGTAAAAACTCGCTAATGGCTTGACCGACACAAACCACATTGTGATACACCATTCAAACACACACAAGCATTGGATAGCAATTACATAGACTCACAATTCATTCCATGCCATGCATGCACACACACAAACAAGGACGACAAGCCGAGTGCAAGCCATAGGGTTGCACCAACAGTGGCTAGCGTGGAGCCTAGGCTAAACAAGGCAGCGGGTCCTATGCCTGACGTAGCAGGGGAACCTAGACTGCACACAGGGGACACACCTATGCTAGGCAACACCAAGTAATAGGGTCCAGTCACACTTGAGTCATCAGCATATATGGCATACAAAGCTGACCGAATGTGATCCATGTCCATCTCAAAGACAGGCACATGACGACGCACCAGGCTGTATTAGTCGAGGGGTTCTGCCGTGTGGCCAAAGCGGAGACGGAAGAGGTCGTCGAGGTGTTACCGGGGCGGTCACAGACGTTGCCGCGGTGGGGCTGGACTGAAGCTGGTACAGTCAGGTGACCACACTGGAGCTGCTACCCGACACTGATCTGCGCCCCCCACCACCACCAGAACCGCCAGTCCACCACGGCGGGGGGGCTCCCACGGCAACTGCTGCTGTTGTCGCAACGGCTGCTGCTGCTGCTGCTGCTAATTAGGCTGCTGCTGCTGCTGCTGCTGATTATGAGGCTGCTGCTCCGGGGCACCAGCCCCGTTCCCCTCGTCTGCACCACCGTCCCCTCCACCACCTCCGCCACTTCCGCCACCCCCGCCATCCCTCCCGGCGCCATGCCCCCCCCAGGCTCGGCGTCCCCTACCCTGACGAGACTGCGCTGAGGCCGCCGTAGCGGTCTCAGCAACAGGGACTGTCTTAGGAACAGCGGCAAAGACGTCAGAGTAAGTGCACTGGGAGGGAGCACAACCCTGGAAGATAGGGACCACCGCAGTACCACTAGACAGAGCGATAGTGCGTTGGCGGGTCTCTATCTTGGTCAGGGTAGTGACAAAGTCAGTGAGGGTGAGGTCAGCAGGGTGGAGGGCAAGGAAGTGGTCGCGGCAGTGGCTAGGCGGTCAGGAAGGCGTGTGCCAAGGAAGTAGAGGGTAGCACCGAGGGGGGGAGGCAATACAAGGAGCTGAGTCTAAGTGCTAGCAGCGCGGTAGCTAGTCTTTAGTGCGCGCAAGTGAGTGGCGAGATCAGCGACAGTGGGAAAAGACGCAAGGTGGGGGAAGAGCAGGGGGAGGAGGAGACGACCGGCAGAGGCGAAGGAGGGAGTGGAATAGCGTGCAATATCAACATCTAAGTACGCCTTCGTACTCTCTAGGGCCTGGTAGCGGGGGCGCTCAGACAGGGGGAGGGCACGACTGATAGCAAGCTGCGCAACTGCGTCACGCGACTCCCAAACGGAGCGACCGAGCACACCAGCTGCAAAGGCCTCACGCTCAGCGGGGGCGTCAGAGAGGGGAGTAGGCGGGTCGGGGCAGAGGATCTTACCGGGTCGCGGCACGGCGATTCGGCGGCGCGGCGGTGCGGCGCGGCGCGGCTCGGCGGCGCAGCGGCTTAGCGGCGCGGCTCAGCAACCCGGCGGTGTAGCTGCTCAGTGGCGTGGCGTAGCGTCTCGGCAGCCCGGCTCGGCGCCGTATGGCAGGGCCGGTGCAGCGTGACGGGGCCGGCGAGGAGTGACGAGGCCGGCGCGGCGTGAGGAGACCGGCGCGGCGTGACGGGACTGGCGCGAAGTGACGGGGCCGGTGCGGCGTGACATGGCGCAGTCCAGTTGGGCCAGCGTGGCGGGACGGGGCCGGCGCAACGTGACGAGGCCAGCGCGGTCTAGCGGGGCCGGCACGGCATGACGTGGCCAGCGCGGAGTGAAGGGGCCAGCGCGGTCTAGCGGGGCCGGTGCGGCGAGACGGGGCCAGGGCAGAGTGACGGGCCGGCGTGTCGTGACGGCGCCGGCGCGGCTTGACAGGGCCGGCGCGGTCTAGCGGGGCCGGTGCGGCGGGACTGGGCCGGCGCGGCGGGACAGGGCCTGCGCGGCGTGACGGGGAGCGGGCTAGGGCGCGGTCTAAGGCTAGGGCTAAGGCTAGGGGCGGAAGCATACGCGGGGAGGGGGACCTAACCTAGTGTGATACCATATTAGAATAACGCAATGAACTAGATTGAGCCATACAGGGAGGTTTTTTGCTATGGTGCTGTACCCTCTATGAGCATGCACATATCTAGCCTATAACATATACAACCATATGTTGACACCACAACCCATCGAGAATTTCGGCCAAGTCCCCAAACGCTAGAGACATCCGTCACACACCCCACAACCCATCTAATGTTTTGGCTAAGTCCACGAACACTAGAGACAACTGTTAAAATTATATTACATACATATATAATTGTAGGCTTAGTAGTTGTGCTACTTACTGAATCCTACTGTAAAGGGACTACCCCCCCTCCTGTATCTCCTTCTCTTCTAGTCCAACTCTCTCTTCTCTTGACATTTCTCTCCCACATTAAACCTCACGCCTTTTCTATGGCTTCTCTACCCACCTAGCTTCTTTTAGTATGGTTACAGAGGAGGTTCAACCTGCTGGACCTTCATCCCATGTTTCCGTCGTGCACTCTTCCTCTCTCTCTCTCTCTCTCTCTCTCTCTCTCTCTCTCTCTCTCTCTCTCTCTCTCTCTCCCTCTCTCTCTCTCTCTCTCGCTCTCTCTCTCTCTCTCTCTCTCTCTCTCTCTCTCTCTCTCTCTCTCTCTCTCTCTATCTCTCTCTCTCTCTCTCTCTCTCTCTCTCTCTCTCTCTCTCTCTCTCTCTCTCTCTCTCTCTCTCTCTCTCTCTCTCTCTCTCTCTCTCTCTCTCTCACGCTGGCATGGCGGCCGCGTCGTGCTGCTGTGGCGGCGTTGTCGTGCCGCCGGCCGCGTCATGCTGCCGCGGCAGTCTCGACGCTGCTGCCATGGCGCCCTCGTCGCGTTGTCGTGGCGTCGACGTCCAGCCGTGGCGGCGTCGTCGTACTGTTGCAGCGGCATCGATGCACCAGCGTACGATCGGCAGCGGCAGCACCGGGCCAGCCATGGCATTGCACTAACAATCCGCCCCCCACCCCTTCCAAGTTCCCCTCCTCTGCCTTTCCCTTCCTCTCCGCCGTAGCTGCTGGCGACCTCGTGCCGTCCTCCCCCTTTTCGTCTCAGGTTGAGCCACGCCGCCGTTGCCTTGGGTGCCGCAGCCGCCGTCACCAGGTGCCTCGACGCTGCCGCCGTAGGTGCTGCACGCCCTGCCGCCGCCGCTGCCGCTGTCGCCGCCGCCGCCGCTGTGACCCACCGTTGATGTCGCCACCTCAATCGCCGAGGGGTCGACCGGCTGGTCGACGCCACTGCTGGTGCAGGGAATGGGGGTGCAAGGATGGGGGGGTGCTGGGGGTGGGATGGGCTTGCCACTACCAAGCCTAGGGGGTGTGTTAAAATTAAATATTATATATATATAATTGTAGGCTTGGTAGTTGTGCTATTTACTACCCCCCTTGTATCTCCTTCTCTTCTAGTCCAACTCTCTCTTCTCTCGACATTTCTCTCCCACCTAAAACCTTACGCCATTTCTATGGCTTCCCTACCCACCTAGCTTCTTTTAACAACATCCCCCACACACCCCACAACATATAAAAAATCTCGGCTAAGTGGGGTTATCAGACACAATCTCCATAACACCCGGACCCAAAAACAGCCCAAACTTTTTTGGCTAAGCCCGGGGGGGGGGGGGGGGGAATCGAAACTGGGTAGAGGGGGCAAGCTGGGCGAATAGAGCGGTGGGAGAAACTTCGCGCACTTGCAGCGCCCTAGTTGGGAGATCTTGGAACTCAATCATTAGCGACAATCGAACGGTGGAAACATGTCGAAATGATCGCAATCGATCGAGGCCGTCGATTTGTTATAGACTTTCAGCTGGCCAAACGGGCAGCTGACGAGAATTTCCCTAAAAGGGGCGACTATTATGAAATAGTTGTTTCGTCTCTCCCTATCTAGGGTCAAAAACATTTTCATACTAAGGCATCATCGTCAGTACCCTTAAAAGATCCGCAAAATTCCATCTCTGTTTTTTTTACTCCGGGTGTACTCACTGGACCTTGAGAAAATCAGACAAGCTCAGTTCTAGAATCTGACGTTTCAGAGTACCGAAATTTTGGCTGAAGGCCCTTCATACTTTCTACTTTTTTTCTTCTTCTTCGTCTTCTTTTTTGGGGAGTGGCTCATAGTGCCCTTTGTTGAAACGTCAACCCTTCAACCATGACTGTTACCCAATAAATTATGACCCATTATTGTTGTATGTATTTCCTCTGATTTCATTGCCATGTGATGTTGAGTTAGTGAATTGAACCTATTATCCTTATGTATTCAGCAAATATGTATTTCACAGTGCTGAAGTAATTTAAATACACAGATAAGGTAAGTTTGTCAACTTATACATTTCATTATATATGGACATTAGATGCTCCATAGGCTTGTGTTCTTAGAGGGTACATCTCCAACCCTATAACTTCCCTGTACTCTCTTGTTTCTAATCATTCTAGTATTCTAACATGGTATCATGAGTAGGTTAGGTCCGCCCACCTGTTTCCGCCCCTCGCCCCAGACTACCGCTCCCCGCCGGCCCCTAGCATGCCCTGTTAGGATTAAGGACGGAGTCTAGGTGAACTTAGGAGCTAGAATTACTCAAAATATAAATCCGAAATTCTGGACAGAAAAGTCGTCTTTACAAGAAACGACGTCGACGAAAAATTAGCGGTTGGAATATCGCGAAACTTGGGTATGTTGTAGATCTTAATCTCAGCTACCGTTCCCAATTCGAATCATGTTGATTTATGAAGTATTCGCGACGCTATGGCTTTCGACGCATTAGGGGGTAAGCTGTAGGAGGAGAACTTAACTCAATCTCAAAAGTTCAATCAAAGTTCAAGAATCTCACAAGAAATTAGAGGAGCAAGAGAAAGGTTGGGATAGAAAGAGAGAGATGAGAGGGAAGGTCCCAAGAGAGTCCCCAACCAAGGAAACCCCATAAGCACAAAGATTCCCTCCCTATAGGAACCCCAGCTTTGACATTTGTCCCTTCCCAACCAATCCATCCAAGTTGGCCACCCTTGCCAACCTAGCTTGGTTGTTCCCAACCAATTTGCAGCTGTTACAGTAGAGTGACGAATTTCCCCAACCCCAAAGGTCCCAACTCCATATAGACTCACCCCACAACTTCACTTTGTAACCGCCGCAATTGTAACGCAAGCTCATGAACTTTGAATCTTAATAGCTTTCGCGTTCTTGCTCCGATTGAAGCGATTCTTGTTGCGTCGGAAAGATCTTCTCAAGATCTATCATCATAAAATACCTACTCAAACAAAAATAACATAAAAAACATTCCCAAACTCCATAAAACACCACACACAAATTCTTGCACACGTTCAAACCACACATGCAAGTTGAAAACATGGGATGGTAGGCAGACAGAATGTGTTAGCATATGATGACATCACACAAAAATCTCCCCCTCTGGCTGCCAACCATCATCCACCATACCAACATCTCAAGCATGCATACTCAATGCACACTCATCCCAGCAAGCTTCATGCCCTTCCAATGATCCGCCTCTGCCAGACGCTCAGTGAAAATATCCGCTGCCTGCTGATGGGTCTTCACTATCTCCAGCCGCACCTCCTTATCAAGGAGTCTCCTCACCCAATGCCACTTAGGCCTTATGTGTTTTTTCAGCCCATGCAGACAAGCATTCTTGGCCAGCTTCACTGCAGACTCATTGTCACAGAAGATCACCGTCGGCTCCTTCTGACCAACTCCCAACTCCTCTAACAAGCGCCTCAACCACACCACTTCCTTGGCTCCATGGTGTAAGGCCATGTACTCAGTCTCACATGAGGACAATCCCACCTCATTCTGCTTCTTGCTGCGCCAGCTCACAGCACCACCTCCTAGCAAGCACACATAACCCCCAATGCTGGTGCCATCCGCTTTCACTGAGTTGAAGTTAGCGTCAGTATAGCAACTCAAGAGCATCTCTCCACTCTTCACATCTGCAGCACCTCTCTGCAACCGCTGCCTCACTCCACAGTACTCCAATCCCACTGATGCCGTAGCACTCACGTAGCGGACCAACCTCTTGGCCGCTTCCAGCTGCTCATGACTAGGGCGTGAAACGATGCTAGCCAGCCGTGATGTAGCAAATGCAATGTCAGGCCGTGTATGATTTGCAGCATAGTTTAGCGACCCAACCATCGAATGAAACAGTTTCCTGTCACTTTCACCCACTACCTCCTCATCAGCACATGGCTCCACAATAAACCTCGAAGGTAGTGGTGTTGCTGGCTTTCCCCCATCTTGCAGCCCATACTTCTCAGCCAGCCCCTCACAGTACTTCCTCTGGTGCAACCTCAGCACACCCTTTTCCACATCTCTCTCCACATGCATCCCCAAGTAGTACTTCACCTCACCCATCTTGGAGCACTTGAACTGCATCTCCAGCATCTGCTCTGCGCTATCCAGCAAAGCAGTTGATGCAGAAAAGAGAAGGATATCATCCACATACACCAAGAGCATGAGGATTTCATCCTTCTCCTGCAGCAGGAATAGGCTGGGGTCACACTCACTCTTCTTGAAACCCCCAGCCAGCAGCGCCTCCTCCAACTTGTGATACCATGCACGAGGCGCCTGCTTAAGGCCATAGATGGCCTTCTTCAACCTGCAGACCCTGCCGCTCCCATCATCCAGCCCCTCTGGCTGCTTCATGTACACCTCCTCCAGAATGATCCAATTCAGAAAGGCAGTCACAATGTCCATCTGCCGTATCTTCCATCCCAGGAGTGCAGCTATCGCCAACAGCACCCTCAGTGTTGTTCCTTTCCCCACAGGAGCAAACAACTCATCATAGTCCTTCCCCTTTGTCTGCTGAAACCCCCGTGCCACAAGCCTAGACTTGTAGCGGGTCAGCTCCCCTTCAGGTCCATACTTGTGCCTGTAGATCATCTTGGAAGTGATTGCCTTCTTCCCAGGAGGCAAGTCACACAGGTCCCATGTCTCGTTCTCAATCAGGGACCCGAACTCCTCATCCTCACTCGCCTTCCACTTCTCCCCATTTGGTCCATTCAAGGCCTCCTCCCGAGTCTTGGGCTCAGGGATTGGTGCCCAGTAGCAGTGAGCGATCTCATCTTCCTCAATCTGCTCAACCACACTCCCAGCCTGCACAACATTCGGCTTGCCTCTTCCCCCATAGGTCAGCCTCACCGGAGGGCGCACATCCCTCCTAGGTCGCTCAGGCGGGCGTGGAACTCGAGGTGGAGACTCATGCTGCTGCTGCTGCTGCTCCACTTCAGCTGCTCCCCCTTCCTCAGTCACCCCAGACATCTCCTCCTCAGACACTGCAACCTCCACCTGTCTTGAAGGCCGCTGCACCTCATCTGCCTCCACAATGAGCGGTGTAGATGGAAGCTTCTGTTGCTGCTGCTTCCATTCCTTGTAGTACAGGGACTCAAGAAACTTCACATCCCTTCACACTGTCAGCTTCTGGGTGGTCAAGTCCCACAGTAGCCACCCCTTGTGATCCTTAGCAATCCCCCCGGTGGAGATCCACCAGCACCTACGTCGAAGCAGTTCCCCAACCAGGGGTGAACGTAGTCGATGGCCAGTGGCTCTTCAAGGTGAAGCGCCCACCTGGAGAGCCGCATGTGTTCAAGGCGCACTACGTTGCTAGAGGCTTCAGTCAGCGAGAGGGGGTGGACTTCTTTCAGACCTTCGCCCCGACCCCGAAAATGACCACTCTTTGGGCGCTGCTACACGTGACAGCACAGTGCGACTACGAGCTGCACTCTCACGACTTCTCGACATCGTTTCTTCAGGGCAGTCTTCACGAGTAGGACTACCTACGTCGCCCGCAAAGCTTCACCGGCACCTCTGCCCCGGGGACCCAATGGCTCCTCTAGCGCCACGAGAGTGACACGACACTCTTCGTGCTACGTTAGCTGACCTGCATTTCTTCCCGTCCTTTGCAGAC